AAAAATTGATTTAGAGCTGTATTGACAGATTTTTCTCTTTATAACTTTTTCTTTCCTCATTGTCTCTCAGTATGCTGGGATCCAACCTCTTGATGCCATAAACAATGAGGTGAGATGAGGTTTTCAATGTCTAGTGCCCTCTGCTGGATTTTGTAACAGATCCAGTTTGATCATGTTGTGTAACTCTGGTTTCTTGGCAGGTTGTAGAGGCCACCCGTGTAACAAGGCATAAAAACCAACGGGCCCTGCAGTGGGAGGCAGGCATGTATGCCAACCAGGAGAGCTAATGAATCAGCACAAACATAACAGGACGCGCATGAGAAATCATCTTCAGACGAGAATGACTGGTTTTAATTCCACATTGCACTTACAAGCACACTACTAGCACCACCTCTCCATATAAAGTCAATGAACATGAAACATGGACATTGCTTCCATTTCATTCACAGTTTAGCTGGCTGTTCTGAATTGACTGGCGTGGTGGAAATAGGTGTAGGTGTGGAGAGCATTTTACCTGCTTGGGGTGAATTGTAAACTCTAGCATATTGGATTATGAAAACTTTCTTTATCTATTTCTCAGCCCAGTACTAATATTTAACTACTGTCCTTAATACTTAGAAAATATGCACGTTCATAAAAATCTGTCATCTGAAAATAAAACATAAAACTGTATTCCAGATTATTAATCTCACTAACCTTAAAATCCTCAGTGCTTCAATAGATAGACCTGCTTGCCTTTAATATAAGGAATAAAACCAAATAAACAAAGTAGAATCACAGAGCCGGGTTCCTACACAGAGAGGAGGGGCCATGAGAGCTGGACCTGGACAAGAACTCATTAAGACACAAGCCTGTTGATCTAACAAAGTGGTCTTTATTTAGAAATAATGTTGAATATTGCTTTTCACTGAAAAAATATAAAATAGATAAACTATAAATAATCAATAGAAGATTATTTTTGTATTGAATATTCAAGCAATTGCAATTTTTTTAAATGTACAATTTACATTACAGATTAGACATTGTAAGTTATGTCATTATCACTCACTTTTGTTGTAATAATAGTCTAGTATGTCAAAATTAATATCAAAAGTTGATATTGATGTATCCTGTATTCTGTGTATTCTGTGTTAACACATAATAATAATATTCTAATATACAAAATATATAATAAAAGGCTTGATTTTAGTAGACATGTTTCATTTAAATATATATTACAGTTTTTCAATATATTGATTTTAAGGTTTAGCCCTGGATAGTGACTCCAAACCATGGGTACTGTGGAAGATACTAAAATGATTACTACAATTTTTTTTTTTTTTCTAAAAAAAA